CTGTAGACCCTTGCTCTCTGTGTTATAGTACCACCTGTGCAGACAGCTTTGAGTGGCCATCACTTGCCTAAGTCTGTCCTTTTCTAAGGACTCAGTGCTACATCCTCAATTCATATTGCCAAAGGGCACTGGGCATGAACTTACGCTCTCATACCAGGCCAAGTTAACATGGAAGATTTGCTACTTCTCTATCAATGGCTTTTTAAAAGTGTACAATGGAACAGGGGTTAAAAACAGTACAGTACAGTTCCAAGAAGAATACATTTTTTCTGTTTATAACTAAAAAATACTTATTTCTGAGAGCCTATTCCTTCCCCCCAAGAATCACACACACATACCTATCCTCCTATTCAGTATATAGATGAAGATTTGTGGCCCCCGGAAAAATATGGAAATAACAGAATTGGTCAAAGGGAAAAAAATACAATTCAAATGATCGAAACTAGTAAGATGTTCATCAAGGTTAGTCATTCTGACAATCTGTAACTCAAAGACTACTAACTACAATATACAAGCTAACAGCTCTGAATGTGGCTTGGAAGGTTTCCATCTTCCTCAGATGTGAGAAAGAAGGTAATTCCTGTTTTGGCTGGGCTGTCATGTTGTGTTCAAGTACCAATCACTAGAGGAAGAAGTCTTCACCCGAGTGCACTTCCTATCCTAAAGTTCTACAGTAATCATCAGAATACATTTTCACTAACACCTTCTGGTGTAAGGAGCTCAAATAGTGTAGTGGTTATGGATCGGGCTGCAAACCTTAAGGTCAGCAGTTCGAAACTACCAGCTGTTCGCGGGAGAAAGATGAAGCTTTCTGCTCCCATAAAGATTTACAGCCTCAGAAACCCTGTACAGGGTCTCTATGAGTTGGAACTGACTCCACGACCGCAAGGTCAGCAGTTCGAAACTACCAACTGCTCCGCGGGAGAAAGATGAGGCTTTCTGCTCCCATAAAGATTTACAGCCTCAGAAACCTGTGTTCAGGGTCGCTATGGGTCGGAACCAACTCGGACACTTAACAACAACCATGGCACATAACAATAAAGGAGTCCTTGTGTTGTGATGTAGGATAAGCCCTGGACTTCTAACCACAAGGTCTTTCAACGTGCTTTTGCTACCCCTTGAAGCTCTCATGCTTACATTTTCCAGAATTATAAACACCTAAATGAGATTAAAACAATACAACTTCTTCCCAACTCAACTGTTTTCTTCTCGTGAAATACAGGAAGTATTATTGTAACATCCATCCATGTCAACTGTTTTGCTCTTCTGTCCACTTAAAACTCTTTTCCCTTTTCTTACCTTTTGCCTCTCCACCATATGCGTAAGGTTCCACCACACATGAAGTTTATATAGACTACAGACATTAGCATATAACGTATTTTTAAAGCAGAAACAAAGCAATCAGTCCTTCAGTGATCCCTCTGTGTTGCTGTCTTTCCAGGTTATTGTTTTAAACCCAGTCTTGGGCTCCTTTCTGATCCTTACCAGTGTCATCTTGATGGTACTTGCCATCATTAACCTTTTTGTTTCTGCCATTCTAATGGCCTTTGGCAAAGAAAGGTATCTCTCTGGCTCAGTAATCGAAATATATATATGATTTGGAAGTCCTGTTTTGGCTCTGTAAGGTAAGCACTGGATTGTTAACCATAAGGTTTAAACCCACCAGTCACTCCTCAGGAACCCTAAGTGTCAGTATGAGTCAGAATTGACACAAGGGCACTTAACACTTATGATTTTTTCACCAGAGGAAAACCTTAAAATTGTATGAAGGTAAGTCTGGTAGCGTTTGTTGTTAAGTGCTGTCGAGTCAGTTCGTCTGGTAGCGTAGTGGTTACTAATTGGGCTGTGAACCACAAGGTCAGCAGTTCAAAACTACCAGCTGTTCCACGGGAGAAAGATGAGGCTTTCTGCTCCCGTAGATTTACAGCCTCGGAAACCCTGTAGAGTTGCTGAGTTGGTACCGACTCCACGGCACGTAAGAGCAACAGTAAGTCAAAAAGTATTGGTACTAGGGTTCTGGTCCTCACATATACAGGTTTATTATAAACAAAATGTGTTTAAACAGCTCTGCAGTTAGTGGACTGATAGACAAGGGCTCTCTGTAATACACTGGTCCTAGTCTCCTTAAGGTGTCCAATGGCAGATCAAATCCACGCACTCTGTCAACTCAGACGGTCATGGTAAGTTTTTTGGTATTCCAACAGGTAATTGTGATAGATTTTCTCAAAGGATGCAGGATGATCATGGGGGTCAGTTATGAAGTTTTATGAAAATTGAAAATTGCACTACTGAGAAAGTCAAGAGAGTTGCACTGAGGACTGGTTTTCCATCATGGCAACGCACATCACACTCTTCAAGGGTAGCAAAGGCTCTCTTGTAAGAATTTTGTTGGGAAACTGTACTCCATCCACCCTTTATCCCTGATTTTGACCCTTTAGACTTCCATTTGTTTCTAAAACTCAATGAACACTAAAAAAGAAAACAATTTAAATCCCTTGAGGATGCCAAAACCACCATTTCAATGTAGTGTAAATCAAAGAGCAGACAGTTCTCAGGCCAAGAGTTGTTATTGTTAAGTGCCACTGAGTCGGTTTTCATGGTGACCATGTATAGGGTTTCCACGGAACAGATGGTGGGTTCAAGTCAAATCCTGGTAGTTAGTAGTCCAGTGCTTATCCTACAGCATCACACCAGGACTACAGGGAACAGTTGGAGGAGAAAATAAGTCTTCAGAAGTGTGTAGATCTAAATGGAGGTTATGTTGAGAAACAACTGCGTCACGTTTTTCTATTTTTAATGTTTGTGATTTCGTAGCAAAACTTTTTTACTTACCCTCAGACATGCTTTTAGATAATTAATTGACTTAAAACACACTATCACCATATTCCTTTTATTAGTCAGTAGCTCTGCCAACCATGTTCAGAGGAAACCCAGTTTACCAAAACTACATTATGTCTTATACCCATTGTTCTATAATCACTGATTCTCATCCAGTAAGTAGTGGAACACTCCAACTTGACAACCCATCATTAAAAGAAATAATTTTGCTTCTTTTGTACTTTTCACCTCCATCATTAGTAATGATTTGTTTCCTCACTTTTCTCCTTTTGACTTCAGACTCGGAAAGAAGCTGCACTGATAGATAAGCTAAGCTTCTAGAAAAGCTCTCGAGTTTGTTAGGAATCCAGCAGCACCAGAACGCACCCTCGTGCCAGCAAGCCGGCATGCCAGCAATGGACACTGGCCTTGAGATTTCAGGTGGCCTTTCTAAATCCGGCTACTCCTGTCTGCCCTTTTTACTTAGTGTATTAATGCTTATCTTTGTTTAGAAAATTGTAGACACATTAATGCATTGTTCTTAACTGTAAATCAGGAATCAAAATTATGTTAGCTCACAGTTTCTATGCTATGAATTGTGGCACTCTCAGGGCAAGGCTACCACTGCAAGACTGATGCAGGAGAATGCAGTCCTGTTGCCAATAGCAAGTCACCTTACCCATTACAACTTCCCATAAAAACTTTGCAGTTAGACCCAGGTGGAACCATGTTCTGCCACAAGCAGAGGAAAATGGAAGAATCCAGAAAGAATGAGCTCACTGCAAGTTATCCATAAGTTCTGGCTGTCAGAGAGTAGTAAGCAAGCAAACACTTGAGATCGGAGTTTAAATAGGCAAGTTAAAGGGCCACATTCCTGACAGCCAAAGCTGAGGTCTGGCTCATACACCAGGCATGGGCTGCTTGTTTAAAAAGCTCTACTAAAATCTAAATTTGGCCATAACTTGACCAAACAATGGTGAAAGCAGAGCAGAATGTTTAACTTTATTAACAGCTACTAAACTAAGATACAAACCAGTCAAAAACATTAAAGAAAAGTTGCTTGAAACAAGTATATACAGACACAATATACAGAAGAGAAAGTTACATCTTCCAGTCCCAAAGAGACCGGGTAGAGAAGGATGGCCTTGGATAGAGAGCAAAGGAGCAACGTTAGTTACGACAGTAAGAAGTTCATCCATTCAGGGAAGCTGTGAACATCTACAGCCACAGGGGCACCAAAAAAATGATCCGAGATCGGTTTTCAAAAGTTCCACTCAGTCATAAAGTTTTCAAATGAAAACAGGTACCTCTCTTGTCATATAGGCTTTCCAGCTAACTACCCAAGGGAGACTTGGATACTTGCATTAAGGCAGCTGGAATCCCACCCTAGTCTTGAATGGCAATTTGTGCCCAACATGTGGCCTGTCCTGCCAGTGAAGTAATCCAACAGATGGTGTGATAGGGAAAACCAGGTACTTACACAGCACTGCCCTCTGGTAAAAAGGAAGCACAGCACTCAGAGCAAAAGGCCACAGCGGGCTCCCTGAGAATCCAGTAGAACTAAGAGAGGCTATCAACATTCCCAATAAACTTTGTAATTGGATCCAGGTGGAACAGTGCTCTGTCACAAGTAGTGTATATGCCGATGAGAGGGCCCAGCTTTTAGGAACCATTACAAGGGCTTCCTGAGCCATTGTCTCCCTCTCCCACTCAGCAAGAAAATATATGTGTTCTCTCTCATCACAAATCCCTTTGTACAGAGAGAGGTTGGTTTCTAAGTCTGGCACACAGCACAGGGATAACACCTGTCATGAAGTGCTCTTCCCCACTGTCTAGCCATTGATGGTAGCTCTCCCCACAATGCTTTCATTATCTCACTCTCCTATGAAAGGGACTGTGGACAGGCCAGAAGAGAGCCTGGGTCACACCCACAGGAAATGGACAAGCACAGTTGCCAGCAGCCAGCTGCTCCTGCCTCTGTCTCCAGTCGTTAGTCTCTTAGGAGTAATGGAGAACTGGCAGCAGCAGACTTTGGTAGAGCAGAAAGAGAGCCCATATGAAGAAGTCTGCTCAGTGATGATTAACAGATGATAGGGAATTTCATGGAGATTCTTTGTTACAAGGAGAAGCTGCTCAGTACCAACTTCCAAGGCTTGGAAGCTGCCTGGCTTAAATGTAAAGGCTTATGTTTTCTTTTTTAGCTCTTCAAATCTCCGGGAAAGATCATCAAAGTCAATGTCTTCAGAAGCTGAAGTGTTGGCACCAGCAGATGCAGTGGGTAGTGTGTCTGGCACAGATGGCAGCTCTGGCAGGACAAAGTTGTCATAGTTATCCGCAGGTCTGGGAGGAGGCTTTGCAGAGGCTTCTGGCTTGGGTCCAGGACCTAATCAGGGCAAGAAGTAGTGTTACAAGTGCCACAAAATGACTCAGATCTTCAAAGCACACAACTCCCTTTGGCAGAAACAACAAATCAATCAAAATAAAAACAAAAACACTGCTTTTTCAATAATTAAATTCCATTCAAAATGGCAATGAAATTTTTTAGGACAATTAAAATCTGTTGAGTTTTATTTTTTTTTCCTGCATTGAAGAGAAAAACAAGGACAAGTCAAAGTACAGTACATGGAGCCAGGTACATAGAACATTCATTTAAAAGTATACCTCTTTGGAATGTGTTAAAGTGGGGAATAATATTAAGATGCTTGGCTGTCTTTTGAATCTTAGTTTTCCTTGCATTCTATTATAAAATAGACACTGGAGGGGGAGAGAAAGGAATAGT